AACAAATTTAATCTCTTAGTGATTTCACATGTTGTTATTTGGCAGTTTGCTTCAATCAGTATCTTTATTTTGTTGTCATTGGCTTCAACTGGCCATCCAGAATGTGGTGCAACTTCAATATTGAAATTGCCAAAACGAAATTTTGTAAGCCAGTTTTGGCACTGTCATTCTGTCAATACATCTTCTCCATACACATCACACAATTTTTTTCTCGCTTGAACAGCATTCTTACCTTTTTGGTAATAAAAGAGCAAAATATGCCGAAAATGCTGCTTTCGGTCTTCCATATTTGATAAGATACAAAAAATAAACAATTGCACAAAATCTAACAAAATTTTTTACAAATAAGCCTTAAAATGCTAGCTGTCAAAATATATAATGATAATACAGTTTAAAATGAAAATGGTGGGAAAAATACAACTAATCCATCTAGTGGTAAAAAAAACGAAATTACTTTCTAAACAACCCAATACAATGAGCATTAGTTAGCCTTAATTATTATTATAGTAAAGGATGCAAATTCATCAACTCTTTGTAGAACTTTTAGAATTTACAAAATATTGTTTCATGATACACTTGATAATGAAACATATATCTTGTAAATTAGACAAATTAATTCTTGATAGAATTGAATTTATCCTTCTATTCTAGGAACCTAAGGTCCCTTTCACTATTCTAAAAATAAAGGAAACTTAATTATACAGTAATATACAGCTTTACATATGAATATAGTTTAATGTACTTAAATTACGATAATTTTATTTATTTTAAAAGAAAGAATAAATTATAGTTATATTTACCAGGTGATCCTTGAGGTCCCTGTTTTCCAGGTAAACCAGGAGGACCTGGCAAGCCACGTTCACCTTTAAGACCAGTTAAACCAGGTTCTCCACTATCACCTTTCAAACCAGGAAAACCATCTCTACCACTCGCACCTGGCGGACCAGGAAAACCTGCATCACCTTTTTCTCCTGGGAAACCAGGTGGTCCTGGTTCACCTGGTATTCCTTGTTTTCCAGGCAACCCTGGAAAGCCTGCTTCTCCTAAATTCAAGAAGAAAGAAAAGAAAAAAAAACATAAAATAATTATAACATACATTGCCAAATAAATTCTAAATATTTGAACTAAACAACTATAATTTCAAGCACCTGTGTTTAATCTTCTGTTGGGTACAATATAAAATTGTAAAGATTTTGGCACAATGTATCAAAATGATTACTTTTTAAGTTTTGATTATTAAGCAAATACTTATGAATTCTTACAATAAATTAGAAATAATAATATTTCTGATGTATTGTTTAGTTCGAAATCATTATCATTATTACAAAACAATAAAAAATTCAAATTAACAAATTAATCTTTATTACTGTATTTTCATTCTACTCTTATATACTTTTTCTATTTTTCCATGAAAAAATAAAAAACAAGTATAAAATTGATTTATCTCTATTTTCATATTGCACAAAGAATTTTCTGTTTACAAAATATTTATTATGATTATACAGTAGAGCGTCGATTTTCCGAAAGTCAGTCATCCGAAACGTCAGTCATCCGAAAGAATTCCAGTCAGCAAATTTAAATTTTCACCAGTGCTGTAGCGCTTCAATCTTTGGCTATGTCTTGGGGTACTCAAATATTTTACGTTTTTGATACCAAATTAACATCTGAAGTATAATTTTTTATTATTTTTATATTTTTCAATATATTTATTTTGTTTGTACAAAATAAAAAAATAATTTTTAACAATACAATAGTCTTTGTTAGGCTTAACATTGACGAAAATTCAACTCAAAGCGACACGCAACGGAGAAAAATTTCGACATCGGATACGTTAAACTATTTTTTCGTACGTAAATCAGTTATCTGAAATATCAGTTATCCGGACAACCCCAGTCCCCAATTGATTTGGAAAATCGACGCTCTACTGTATTTATATACACATGTTTTACATTGAAAAACTTTCTCTGTGCAATAAACAAATTGCCATTTTATGTTTTTGCATTCATATTTTGTTAAGTAGCTTTTTATTTAGTGATACATTACAATCATTACATCCTTTCCTTTTTTTTTTTTTTGTTTAGCATTCAGTATTATTCATTTCTTTAATTAATATTGGCTTGCATTGCTTGTAATACAGTACCAATTTCTAAGCAGTGGTTTTACAGGATCTTAATACTAAAGAGTAATTAATCTAAATACTATTTCTTGAATTCATTGTACAGTACAAACCAAAAAACCAGGCAATATTTTAAATTTTCAGTATATAGTGGAAAGAAGGAAAATATATAAAAATGATTTAAAAAAGGAGATTACTGTTTATTTTGAAGGTTTTTCAAATTTTAAGAATTAAATTTACCATCAAGAATGAGAGAATTAAGCTACTGAAAAGCAGGCATGACTACAAGTTTTCATTAAGAATGCCCAAATTAAAGTGCACAGGGCTTTGACATTAATAATGGTTTATACAATAGCAACGATTATTATTTTAAAAAAATTTTTGTTAGGCTTAACATCGATGAAAATTCAATGCAAAGTAGGTTAATAGCAATATACTAATATACTAATTACATGATATATACTAATATACTAATTACATGAGATATACTAATATACTATACTAATAATGTATTTTTTCATATTTTTTGGCTATCCGTTTTTTCAGTTATCCGACCAACCCCAGTCCCCAATTGAGTCGGATAATCGATGCTCTACTGTATATCATATATTATATTCAAATTTTACTGCTGATTGTAAACTTGTATGTAATTAAAATTGAACATATGAAACCAAACTTGGTGTCATTAGAAAAAAGTGTAAAGTTGGGTTTTGCAGGGCCCTTCAGAAGTTGGGACCCAGGGCATGTGCCTGGTATGCTTGCCGTTAAATCTGTCTCTGTAGACGATGGTCTTGATAGCACATGCTGCACCAAGACTCTTGTTACCATATTGTGAAACACTAAAATGAGGGTATCCCAATCAACTCAGTGTCCAGAAAAAATTTTATAACTCAGGAATTATAACAACACACTTTTGGAAGCCTTGTGACTTAGCTTAATATAATTTATTATTTCATTTAAGAATTTGTTTTGGGGCATTATCAAAATGCCTAGTAGCAAAGAATGTGAAAAAAATAATGTGACTTACAGAAACCAAATGTCTTTTACCCACTTTAATGTTGAGCCCATGTATAGTTTTCACTAGACTTAATTTTTTTAATAATTCATTATTGGGAATCAAGCAAGCAGTTGTTTCATTGAATCTAGATGGATGATAAACTGTAAACACGTGACAAAAGCCAACACTACATGACAACCACATGTGGCTGAAAAACAAAGCCACTGCTAATTAAGATTGGAACTGAAACCCGAATTGAAATCAGAAACACAAAGCAAAAACAATGCTATGAATGTAATGCTGGAAGTAGAAACACTACTCAGTTGTCAAAGTAATTGCTTCTGAATTCTAAATTTAATGCTAAACTGTTACCATTAAAGAAAATCTTCCATTTTTACATGAGGTATTGCAAAATGGAAAAATAAAAATTATTTTTATTTGAAAAAATTTGAGGAAAAAATGTTTAATCATTGAAAATGTGGGCAAAACATGGAATTCACAAAAACATGTGCAGACAGTAATTTTTACCCCTAAATAAGAATGTTTCTACGTAAATAAGAGTGTATGGTAAACCTAACCAAGACTAAGAGAAGGATTCCAGAGATTAGTGAAAGTATCATTTGAAATGGGTCTGGTTATCGTAAAAAGAAGACAAAATATATGATCTGCAATAGAGATGATATTAACCTACCTGATATCAATAAATTTATTGTCAATCAGTACTGTTTTGATAGATTCTTAGATCCCAAATACCTTATCTATTCTGACAGGAAAAAAGATTATATATATAAGTAACTGAAAGTTGTTTGATAGATTCCAGCTTCTGGAATGTTTCTATGTAAGTAACCAAGGAAAATTTCAGTTGTGTCTCCAGTCACAGTAAAATTCACTGAACTTTGTTTAAGTTTTATTGTGGCTTCTATGATTATAGAATGTACAATAACATTGTGACAGTGTTCCACTAGGTAAACATTATAAAGATTTCATTTCAAAGATTAACCAAACTAAGGTTGAAGTAATTTTTAAGATTTTAATAAACAATATAATTTTTAATAAAACCACTGCAAGTTATGAAGAATAACGTTAAAGTGGCTTTGGAAATTGAACAAGTGAACAGTTACAGCATTTATTATTTAGATATTTCCATAAAGGTGGACAAAATGTTTTGACATCAGTTTATAAAAAAACCAATGGCAGTCCTGTTCCATTTCAAGTCTAAAGATCCATCCAATATAGGATAGCAGCACTTACAGCAATGTTACATAGAACCATCATATAAAATCATTACTCAGATTATTATTAATTTGCTTATCCAAATGACTTATTGTCTCCACTTATGGAGGATCATCTTGCAATTTGGAATGACTATGACTTATTGCTAGGAGAGTTGTTCATCTTGCTACCTTTTCTGCAGAAGGAAAGAAGCAGAATCTCTAGCAAGATGAAGTATCATATATTTTTTCCATAATGAAGAGTATGCTAAAGAACTTGACTATGTCAAAAAGACTGCTCTCTTTAGTTGTTGGTTCAAATTATTTCAAAACATCACAAACAGTATTTGGAATAAGAAATCTTTTAGGCCATTAGTTGCAAAATATGTTAAGGAAACAAAAATGCACTAGTGTGGTGGTACACCAATGTATTTTGTTATATTTTTATATATATATGTTCTTTCTTTGTTCTGTGTTCCTTTGTTTATACTTCCTGGAACTTTCGTCCAAGTGTGGGTGGTGGGTGACCTAATTAGGGGACAAGAATAAGAAACAGAGGGCAAGTGGGAGACTAGAGGATCACTTTTTGCTTTGGACCTAGAAAAGGAAAGACACGTCAGAGAGAGGTCTCCAGGTCGTCGTTGCTTCGACTGAAAAAAGGTCTAGAAGAGCTCGGAAGAAAGAAGTAGCGTTATTAAAGACTTTGGTATGCTAAAGATCAAAGACATTTATTCATTGATTCTCACATACGATCCGTCCCCCAAAAAAAATTCCAAGATGACGTCATCCAACTGCCGCCACCTCGATCGCCAACTCGGGTACCCTTCCTTCTTGAAAATATATTTCTGTCTCTCTCATAATCGATCCTTTTTCTTTTTTTATTTAGATATAAGTAGGTTTAAGTTAGAAATTAGGTATCTCTTTGTATCGCGAAAGTTCTTGTTCGACTGTGGATCGGAACAGATGTTGTTTTTTTTTTTTTTTTTTTGGAAATAAGAACTCAGGAGGTCGGAATCCACAAGAACCTTTCTTGTAGAAGTTTACACAAAAACTAAAAGCACGTTTTATTTGTTTTAATATCTGTCTCTTTGTGAAAATCAACACTCACCACGTGCTTATGACTACACTAGGTTGTTAAGCATAACAGTAAAAATAAGGTAAGCATAACAAGTAAAATAAGGGTAAAATTGTTACACAAAGATCCTCTAAGATTTTTTAAGGAAAAAAAAAATAGTTATAAAGATCAAGAAGTGAAGTTTACAAAATACTAGTAGAACAATAAATAGCAGTAGGCAGAAAAAAAACATCATCAGGTAGTATTTGGAAGTATGTACAAGAAATTTATGGATAGATTGAAAGTAAAAAGGAGAAACAAACACAGCACTGACAGAAAAACTAATAATTAATAAAAATATATTGGGTAAAATGCAATGATACATAAATTGTAGCAACTGACTCAAAAACATCCCACTATGAATTGCATAAAAACCTAATTATTTGACACCAAAACAAAGTTAGAAGAAAAATAATTCAATGGTATTTACAAAAGTTTTAGCAAAAGGTCAACACTACTAAATGAAAAACCAGTAACATAGACTGAATGAAAGTTTATTTACACATAGATTAAACAAATGTTTTCACATTCTTTTGCTAATTAATAGTTTATTAGTTACATGTTGCAAGTTATTTTTGTTTTTATTTTATTTATTCTTTTTGTTGTTTTTGATCTCTTAATTTATGTCATTTTAAATATTATGTTCAAATTTTTCTTAACATAAAATTACACTCCAACTTTTGTGTTCTATACTAAAAATGTTGTTCATTAAGTTTGAATCATCCCTTGATTAGAATATTTATAAATATTCTAATATTTAAAATTTTTATTTATTGACTGATTGTTTTATGCCTTTATTTCAGTTCAGACATCATTATTAAGTTTGAATTTGACAAGATATCAGTTGAAAACATTTTATCTAGTAATAAACTGACTTCTTAAAAATTGTTAGTGCTATGTATTATGAATGATAAAAAAAATTTTGTTGTTCGTTAAGCATTTGTATCTTCCATACACAAAGTTCAGGAGATTCCCTCTCAGATTTCTATTTTTTATTTCAGTTATTTTACAATTACATCTACAATGCAATGAAATAGGAATATTTTAATGTTTGAGATAGTACCTTCTAAAGTGAATATCAGTATACAAAGATTTAATTTCCATTCTGGCAATTTTCTGTGAGGTATATGTCATTATAGGTTATCCTCATGAAATTTCAATAATTGTTTTTTAAATTGAAGTTTTTACTTAAATCTAAAATATTTTTGATTTAATAAAATCACGATACATTGTGAAATTATTTTTAATCTTATCCTAATCTAATTTGTAAAGTTAAAAAAAAACAAGTAGTTTTATTATAGATTAAACTCTTTCTATAATGGAACACTGCATGTATACCTTATTTATTACAATGTAAAAATTCATTATAATTAAACAATTTTACTTATTTACATTTATCATATTATCTAACCTTTTTGTCCTGGAAATCCAGGTTGTCCATCATTTCCTGGTCTTCCAGGTAAACCAGGTTCTCCTTTAATAGAAAGTCCTGGTATACCAGGTATACCAGGGGGACCCTGGGGACCATGATCACCTAAAAAATAACAGGATGATTATTGTTAATTCATCTGTTAATCATAATTTGAAATAAATTTTTATATTTTCATTAATTACAAAATAAATCTTTTACCTGGAAGTCCTCTTGCTCCAGGTTGACCAGGCATTCCAACTAATCCAGGAAAACCACGCTCTCCCTTTTGACCTGTAAATTGTTAAATTTTTAATAATATCTACCATTTGTGAAAGCAGTAATATTAGTTTTGAGAAAAGAGCAATTATGATTCTAAAATAATATTTTTATGTCAAATAAACAATATAAAATTGATACCTGGGAAACCAGGAGCACCATCAAGTCCTGCTTGTCCTTTTGGACCTTGTGCACCAGGTGGACCAGGATAACCTAAGTCTCCTTTGTCTCCTTTTTGACCTCTTTCTCCTACAGTTATTATTTTATCTTGTGTTAATTCAATTAATTCAGATTTTAAAATTTTTAATAAAAATCATCTTTACAATTAATATTAATTTTAAAGGGTGTTTGTAATCAATAACATTAGGATTATGCATATAGAAACTTTGAAAAAAAACATGCAATAAAATTATATAGGTAAGTTAATGAAAATTATTACATGTTGGAATTCATTATTGTTATCTTTGAGACCTGACAAAAGCACTACATTGCAGAAACAAAAATGGTTTGGTATGTAATAAATTTCTATTTCAAATGAGTGGTTTTGGTTATTTATCAATTATTATAAAATTAAATTAAAAATGTTTGCTGCATTAGCAGGATATTTTAAAAAAATGAATAACCAACTTTTTATACTTTTTATAAAACTCATCTAAATCACATAGAAATGAAAATGAAAAAATATATTTAACTGTGATAAATCAGAATTATATTTTTAAAGTGTTGTAAATATTTCTTATTTAAATCATAAAGAAGATAATTACAGCTTTAAAGTCTCAAAAAAAGAATGAAAGAATTTTTTCAAACAATCAAAATGCTTGGTTGCAGATACACATATATCTGGGTTGTGTTCAGTAACACAGAATGCTAGTAGAAAATAAGAAATCTAATTGGATAGGAGGGCAGAGCTAAGAAGTGTTCTAAGTATTCTAAGTGTTCTAAGTGAATGGTGTGCTGAGTTTACAAGTTAGACTGATTGTGTGTAAAAATGATGAATGATGTAATCACCATAATTTTATGATAAAATAAATTATCACAATTATCTTAATCTTATGACCATTATAAAAAAATATATATTTATTCCATCATGAGCAACCATTTTGCAAATTGTATGATGAGACAAAAACAATGACATCACCTAATAGAATAAGCAAGCTGACTGAATTACAGGTAATCCCCATATAACACAGCACTTCTATAGAACAGATTCACTCTAACATGGTTTGAGAATTGGGAACATCCCTGTATAACACGGTGCTTTTATAGCATGGGTTCACTCTAACACAGTTCGGGAATTGGGTAAAACCCTTGTACAACATGAAATGTAATAAAGGGTGCGTTTTTTAAACCTCCATGTAACTTTGCGTGAGCATTCTAATGGTTTTCGTGGCTACTTTGAATGCTCTTTCAACAAATAATCCATTTAATGGTTAAATTTTACAATTGGGACCCTTCTTTTGCCTCTAAAAGCTTATTTTAGAATTATAGATTCCTCATCACAATACTATCAATAGTGCAGGCGCCGCTATCTTTCTTTCACCATCATTCCTAAATGCCTACAAACAATAGCACATTCCCATTGCAGAGCGACCGCTATTAACGAACGCACCCAAAAACTGTTACCAGTTGATGACACTCATGCTGAGATCATCATATAGGATGAATAATCCTCTGGTAAAATATTTACTTAAATAATAAATAAGTATTTTACCTATGAAAAAATGAATAATAAATCTGATTTAAATAAGGATTTAACAGCATGTTTTTTAATTTTTGGAACATAACCCCCCTTTTCACACTAGTTCTTTGTTTCGTATAACATGGATTTGCATAACATGGCAATTTTTTGGAACGTAACTACCATGTTATACGGGGATTACCTGTAGTTAGAATTTTAACAGTGGAAAGAGTCAAAAAGTAGTTAGAAATGAGTTTAGCATTGCAGCACAACTAGACTTATCAAGAATTCTGCAATACTGAACATGGCTCTGGTATCTTGGTACTGCTAATATTACTGCCCTAGTGGACAGCCTGAAAATTAATGGCAAGACTCAAAACATGCCATATATGGGGATTTGTTGAATCATAGAAAGCTAAACTAAAAAATTCCAACCTATACAGTATATTGTAATATCTAGATTGCATATTTGAATTTTGCTTGATAGATTACATTTGTGTTTGTTGATTTTTAATGGAAATTGTTTAATGGAAAGATATTTTAGTCAAAAATACTTATAAACTGTATTGAAATAAACTGAATTAAACTGAATTAAATTTAAACAATTAGATAATATGTAAATTATATAACTTTTATAAATATATAAAAAGTATTACCTGGTAAACCTGGAATTCCACCTTCTCCTTTAATACCTTTTAGTCCATTTAATCCTGGTAAACCAGGTGGACCAGAAGGCCCCCTTTCTCCTTTTAATCCAGGGCTACCATGAAATCCTGCTTCTCCTTTACTTCCTTTTTCTCCTGGAAATCCAGGTAATCCTTGACCACCTTTTTCTCCTTTCATTCCTGGAATTCCATCTAAGCCACGTAAGCCAGGCTGACCTGATAAACCTGGACTACCCTACATTAATAAAAAATAAAACCAAATGAATAAATCTTGATTAAACTTTTGTTTTCTGTAAATGTCAAATACAAATACTTAATGGGCTTACATTTAAAAATTTAGAATTTTGATCTGTTAAATTTGGTTTATTAAAAATATGGGTAATTTAATGACAGGCAAGTTTTTTAATTAAAAGATTGTCATTTGGCCTAAATTTTAATGCCAAATTGTCATAATTTTCCAATGCTGACAATTTGGAATATAAAATTTTTAATTATAAGTTGTTAAATTGTTAAGTCAGATTATCTTTGTTAGTAGAGTATTAGCTTGCTTTCCCAAAGGTCAGTAAATCCAATTGGCCAGTCAGTTGCCACTTTGATTTTAATGATTTGATCATATAATTTTGGAATTGAATCTACCTTCTCGCCTTTCATGCCATGAAATCCTGGTAATCCATCAATTCCTTTTGGTCCAGGTGGTCCAATTAGACCTGGAAGACCTTGTGGACCTCTTTCTCCAATTGGTCCAGGAGGACCAGGAATTCCTCTTCCAGGTAATCCTGGGTCACCTTTCATTCCAGGAAGGCCATTGAAACCTGTAAATAGCATTTAATTTAACTATGCACTTCTTTAAAAATAATTTTTCTTTAAAAATAATCATTCCTGGAATTTTCTAATACAAATTATTTTTACTGTTTTCAATCATTTCTTAAAATATAAAAATTAATTATTTAACAATTTTTTTTTTTTTAATTTAACTATTAAATTTAATAGTTAAATATAAGAAGTGGCTAAAATACTTTTAACATCATAAACCCAATTCTATTAGAGATGTAAATAAACTATTGGATTATTTGTTTTACACAGCTAATTTGATGATTAGAAATACAGTAATTTGGCTATAGGTATCTTTTCTTCCAGAATATTCTAAATTTAAATTTAAAATTTATTTCTAATATATACTAAACATCCCGAAGCCTGATACATAGATACTCAACCAAACGATCACCTTAATTAATCAATCGGACTACAGATCCACTATTATTAATGATTTATAGCCCAATTGATTGAGGTGATTGTTTGCTTGAGTATTTATTAATAATTATTAAATTTATCATTAGATGGTAGTCTAACCACCTACCTATAACCAAATTGTTTTATTTCTAATTGTTAAATTAGCCATATTACAATTCAATAAATAATCCAAGCAATTCATTTGACATATCCACTACAATATATTACTTTTAAAAGTATTTTCTATTAATTTATCCTCAAATCCTCACAAATGTTCACTTACTTAAAATTTAAACTTTACAATTTTTAAAAGAAAGAGAATTAAAAGTTAAATAAAAAATGACAAAGATCTACAAAATTCTACCAAATACACTCATCATTAGTAAATTTTCCAATATCATATGACAACATTGATAAATATATTATTTGTTGTTTTTATGTTAATATCTATTGTTTAGATTCCAGTAACATTAGATGAACATATTTTACAGGAATTCAATGCATCTTTTACAATTTTTTTAATAAAAATTGATCTTTAAAACACATATATTGATGATATAATAGAACTTTATTTAACAAGGAGAACACTTTTGCCTCATTTACTCTCAAGATGTCTTCTGTCATTTACAAAAAGTTTACTCTAATTTTTGAATTTTTCCAATGTTGGGAATATGTTTGGTCCATTCTAAGATAAATCTTCACTCAGTTTTTTACTTGTATGAAACAGAAATGAGTCTTACAGCTAATCCACCTTTAATAACTTCTGCATGCCTTGACAATCCTTTATTCTAAATACTTTTAAAATACATTGCCTATTCAAATCCATTTCCAAACAAAATATATTTTAGGCTTTCATTTACATTATAGTTAGTCCCTGTTCATTTTCATTTAATAACAAATTTTAAATTCAATTTATAAATTTTGAGTACAACTTAAAAATAGATACTTGTGTTAAATTAGTTTTAAATTTCAAATAAAAGAAAATCATTATATTTCATGTACCTAATAATTTACTCAGCACTTCAATATTTCTTCTGTCAATTATTTTCTTATTGAAGCACTAAGTAAATTATGAGTTATCTCATTTCCAGCTTCTATGAATATTCCATGTAGTATTACAATTTTTCATTAAAGAACATTAATCTTAAATAATAGGTCTAAGAAAAAGAGAAGAAATTAGTCATACATAACCAAATTTTCTTTTTTTTTTTTTTTAAATTATAAATTAATTTTTTGTAATCTCAACAAAGATGTTCAATAGCTATGTAATCATATTTGATTATGAAAACCATCTTTCTGATGATGAGGTTGCACTTGAAAACATTTAAAGTACAGTTTAATTTTTCATGTTTGCTATTTCAATTGTATTAATTCTTATAAAGCATTTTTATTGAAATTTTATTTTACTAAAGGTAAAATAACCTTCAGTAAAATAAAAAAAAAAAACTCTTATTATCTAATCTCAAATTACAAGTGAAACTGTAACCAGATAAGTATACAGTGGAACCTCGGTATACAACCTTAATCCGTTCCCGATGTTTGGACTTATACAGAATTGGACGTATACCAAACCAACCTTTCCCATAAGAAGTAATGAAAAAATGATTAATTCGTTCTTGTGAAAAAGAAATGGCTGGCTTTAAACATCTCGCTTTCCTGGCTAGTTCTTGCTTGATTTTTTGTGAGATCAGCGTGTATCTTTTTAGCTTTCTCGCAAATAATTGCTTCCGATACGCTGTCTCCAGCACTGTTTTTCAGTTATCCAAAGCAAAAGCAATTTCTCGACATGATCTAATGTCTTCGATCTCTGTTTACAAATTGATTTAATTCCTTTCGCAACGTTAGCAGATTTAATAATGTCTTTATTTTTTGCGATTGTCCATACCGTCGTTCTCGGAATACGGTAAACAACAGTTAAATCTCGAACACACGTGCCACCTTCGTATTTCTCATCAATCTCTTTCATCAGTTCCATTGTAATTCTATTCATTTTTTTAGTTTTCTGTCCCTTTTCATTTGCCTTTTTGCAATTTGTGATTAATAAAAATAACAACATTTTACTTACATATTAAAATCAAAAGAAATTAAACAAAGTTATAAACCGTTGCACCGCGAACGTCTAGTCTGGTCTAGTACACCGATAGTGCTACTTGTTCATTGATGGCGCGTATAATTGAATTATGTCATATACCGAACAAAAGTCGTATACCGAGCAAAATTTGTTTCGTCCAAACAGGACGTATTCCGAATTAGACGTATTCTAAAGCAGACATATATCAAGGTACCACTGTATTTAAATTTTTCTATCCAATCACCAAAATTTATTAAACTATTCCTTTGTTATTTAATAACATAAAATCATACTTATATAGTTTCAACTTCAATAATATATAATATATATATATATAATTTTCATTTATTTTATATTGTCATACTTTTTTATACAAAAAGCTCTAATCTACTAATTAAATCAATAGTCTGAAATGTAATCATTTTGAAACTGACATATTGAATATTGGTCATATACAATGAAAAGAGTATTAAAATTATTGAAATGACTAACAAAATTTAAACAAGATTGAATCATTTCAGTGCTCAAGATGAAGGTGAAAAACGAAGAAAATATGAATCAATATCATGCTAGTTTTGATATCTTTAAATAATTATAGTTTTAATATCCTTCAATATAAAATGTAGATTATTAGTCATCTATATCAGAATATTATATAATTTAAACAAAAAATTTTCAAAATTACATTATTTGGAGTAAGTAAGATGAAAAAGAAGTAAAAAATTTATACATCTTTATTACTTTACACTATATTGTCCATTAATAACAATTTCTTTTTTGTTTTTAGGGTTTGAGAAAAGTGAAAAAAGTTCTCACTATGCTGGGAGTAGCATCAGCAATAACCATTGTATTTGACATTGTAATGATTCTTGATTATTATTAAATAATGAATTTTAAAATATTTATCAATTATTCACTTAATTTTATAGATAAATTCATATTAATTCAACATATCTGAATGCATTTTAATAAATTATACACAATTCATTTATTGATTAAATTACCTGATATTATACTTCAAGTTAATTGAACAATGAAGTATAGCATAAAAATTTAGTGGATAAAATATATACAAAAAAAAAATTAACAAAATTTACTAACATAAATATCATAAATATATCATAAATAATATATCTTACCATCTCTTCCAGGTAAGCCTGGAGGACCTGGTTTTCCAGGTGGACCAGGAATACCTTTTTCACCTTTTGCAGCAGCTTCTCCAGCATCTCCTTTACGTCCTGGTATTCCAGGTAAACCAGGCTCACCTTTTACACCAGGACTACCTGGTATGCCATCTAAGCCAGGTAAACCATCTATCCCTCTATCTCCTTTTTCTCCAGGAGCTCCTGGAAACCCATCTCTTCCTTGATTTCCAGGTTTTCCTGGAAATCCTTCAATACCAGCAGCACCTTTCTCTCCTGTAATAATTCATATATATAACAATTATAGATTCTATTTAAAATATTTCTGATTATTAAAATATTATTTATGTTATGAATGTGTCTCTTTAATCCGACAAATTAAGTTCTGTAGACTATCAATACAGCTTTCAGGTTAGACACTTCTTAATAATATAATATCATATAAAGATACATATAAAGATTAGACACTTATAATATAATATCATATAAAAATTTGAAAAATAAATATGCAAAAGAGTGTAATAATTTTATTAATTTTGTAGAAATAGTTTCAAACTTTATGATTCATGTTCAGTTATATACAGTAGAGCGTCATTTATCCAAAAGTCAATTATCTGAAACATCAATTATCTGAAACATCAATTATCCGAAAGAATTCCAGTTGTCAAATTTAAATTTTCGCCAGTGCTGTGGCACTACAATCTTTGGCTATGTCTTGGGCTACTCAAATATTATACGTTTTTGATACTAAATTAACTTCTAAAGTATAATTTTTTATTGTTTTTATATTTTTCAATATATTTCAAAAAATAATTTTTAACGATACAATAGTCTTCATTAGGCTTAACATCAACGAAAATTTAACGCGAAGCGACATGCAACAGAGAAAAATTTCAACATGGGATAGGTTAATATATTTTTTCGTACATAATCGGTTATCCGAAATATCGATTTTCCGAACAACCCCAGTCCCCAATTGATTTGGATAAACAATGCTCTACTGTATTCTGTACATAGTTGTACATGCTACTACTTTGTAAATATATTACAGTAAAAATTTATCTAAAATTGCATGAAAAAAAAATGGCTGTCTTTGGAGGTGATTTAAAGTAAATGTATTTTTGTTGACAGCATATGATTATTAAATTAGCATAAAACTTGAAAAATGTGATGCAAAAAATAAATGCATTTTATTGACCTTGCTGGCAACTATATTTTAGTAAGTGTAAAAATGATATGCATTCTACATGAATTATAAATTTTGTACTGTATATGTACATGTATAACAGTGTACATTTACATCATTACATTAAACATTGCATACATCCTTATTAGATTTTGGACTTAAAATGTTTTTATCATTTACAATTTTTAATTGCATATAATCCAAAATTATGTTTGTTTTACTAATTTTATGTACTTTGAAATAATCTCTCTTTCATATTGTTTTGAACTTCATTTAGCATGTCAATGAGTGTCTGAGTGCAAAATTCACAAGCTAAAGTTTTTATGTTTAAAAAAAAGCATCAAATGAGAAATATAAAAGTTAAAAAAGAATTGATTAAAGAGAAAATAAAAATAAAGATTATATAATAAATATGGCTATGTTTGATCCAGAAGATGGCTACTAAGATAGCCAAAAACATTTCATAAATAAAAAGTTGTTGCTGGAACAGGCTACAACTCTAAAAATTAAATATTAAATACAAATAAATATTAAAAGTTTCACACTTATGGCATATTTACAAAATCTTTAACAAATTTCTGTTAATAAGAAAAAAAGCAATGAAATACAAAAACTTCTTGTTCATAAGTATATTAAACAACCTAAGCCCTATATACATATAATATATATACATAGCCAAATGATCGCTTTAAATACTTGGGCTATAAATCCACTATTTTTAATAATTAATACTAAGTAATTTGCTACTAGAGGTAGACATTAGGCACTATCTCTTATCTAAGTTAATAATTATAATTTAAAAAATTTATTAAATAATTTAGAATTATCTGGAAGAAAAGAACTGGCCTTGGACAAGGCTTGAACCTGCAAATTGTGCACTTGCTAGTTATGTCACTTAAATTAGTATTAATTATTAAAAACTAGCAGATAAGCCCAGCGTTGCTTGGGCAAAAAGTAACAATAGCAAAGATTAAGATTATTACATTACAGCCAACCTTACCCGTTTTCACAGAATGCAAGAATTAGGTTCCCCTGTTTCCAGACTAATTAGAAAATTTTTAGATAGGTCTAGAATTATGTTCAATTTAACACAAAAAAACTGCATCTGCGCCTGTAAATCTGGCACGTTGCTTTCTCTTAACACTTCCATTGTTGAAGCCTTAATCCTGTCACTTTCCCCACGGGGGGATTTCAAAAAATCCCTTGTTAGTGTGCGTTCTTATGACATACCCTAAAGCCGGATGCACACATGTGGTGCGGCAAGGAAAAGCAGCAGGATGACGTTACTTTTTCTCGCCACAAAAGTTGATTTTGTGCCGCTTTTCTTGTGCCGCAAAAGTTGGTTGAATTTTATCTTTTGCGGCAACCACCGCCAAGACGCGTTTCTATCAGCCAATAACAGTTCATCTGATAGTCACATGAGAAAATACAATCATGTGGTGTTTTAATGGCAGAAAGTTTGACGTGGTTAACCGAGATAACTAACATCAGAATAAAGAGGAAAGGATAATAAATTTAACACAAATTCTATACAAATAATCATATATAATTTAATTCAAAGAACAAAACAACCGAATCTTACTCAAATAGTATTATTTATTGAGAAATAAGCTTATTTTGTACACCAGTTCTTTATCAATCCAAGAAAATATCTCTAATCCAAAATCTTCGTTTGAATCTTCGACAAAATCTTCTAACTAAATAAAGCAAGCCATATAAAACAAAATTTGTAAACATGTGGATAGCGACAATATGGGTATCGTTTGCCATCTTGAATACTGAACGCATGCGCCGAAATGTAAACGGATTGCTGCCGTGCAGCAAAGATGCATTTGCGACACCGCTTTTCCTTGCCGCGCCGCATGTGTGCATCCAGCTTAACTGTGTACCAAATTTCAAGTTTCAACTCTTAACCATGCTGAAATGCTCACGATGAAATGCTTATATAATGCGCATCATCTATCATAGGATAAATGTACTATGCCAGAAACCTTCGCAGGAGTGTATTAAAAAACTTCCCAAAGTTTCATGGCAATCGGATAAATGGTGTAGTAATGCATGAAGGACAGACGGGCAGACAGACAGAGACAGACAGACAGACAGACAGACATACATACATTCATTTTTATATATATAGATAGAGGATTTATAACCGGAGTATTTAAGGCAATTGTTTGGCTATGTATCTTGATGTTCATATTTAAATATTATTCTGATTAAAAATTTTTTTTAAAAAATGAATGTATTGTAAAGAATTTATTTTCTAAATTTAAAAATATTTGTGTACTTATGATTTGAAAAAATAATACTAATCATTAAATTTCTTCTGAAAGTAATTCTAAAAAATTTTTTCAACTTAATTGTTGGCAAATACCTTTCAATCCAGGAAATCCATCTAGACCTGTAGTGCCTGGAGGACCAGGTAGACCTGGTTTTCCATCAAATCCTCGTTCACCTGGAAATCCTCTATCTCCTTTCTCCCCAGACTCCCCATTTAATCCAGGAAGTCCTGGAACTCCAGCCTCTCCTTTATCACCTTTAAATCCTGAAATAAAATATTTATAAATAAATAAACTATTTTGGAATCATTCACATAATTCACATGTGATTACTTAATGATATAAAAAACAATTATTCTGTGATTTATGTCTGAAAAAAATGTAATCAACTTAAATGAAAATGAAATGAATTTTAAGCAAAAAATACATATATGTTTTTGCATATTTAATCTAGACTGCCTGGATTAAAAAATACATAATATGTTTTTGCATATTTAACTATTTATTTGTGTTTTAGTGATAGTTGTGGTGTTCATAGTGAGTAGGCGATCCCGCGAGCGAAAAGGGTACAAAAAAAAAAGGTCTCACGACACAAAGTATTATTTTTCTCACTGAACAGGTTCGTTTATTTGATCCCAACTTTACAATTTGTCGAATCTTACGCGTATACCGGTGCTCAATGGTACACTTCGAAAACAGTTGTCTATTACTCACGCGACAAAAACCTGAAGAGGACCAAAATTACTTAATCTAACTTACACTAACTTATGACTAAAGAAGAAAGAATATAGAATATAGAGATAGACTAGGAAAGAAGTGGAAATACCCGGGTTTAGGTTCGGTGAGCCCTTGGTTGGAGAACACTTCGGACTAAGAGGCCTCCCCTCGATGATCTCTCTCTCTGATTCTCACTTTTTGTTCTTAGGTCACTTCTTATTTTGTAGACCTTTCGTCTACAATCTTCGTCCTCCAGATTGGGTCGTCTTTTATCACCTCTCACTTGTAGACTTTCCGTCTGCAGTCCTTCCCTTTTCTTTTCTCTCTGTTCGCTTTGTCTCAGATCACTTCATTTGTAGGAGCACCTCTCTGTTCGCTCCTGCCTGCTAGAGATCTCCACTCAATCTGATATTCTTTCTCTCTGTTTTTGCCTCCGGGCCTCACTCCCTTCTCCTTTGTTCATTATTTCTTCAAAAAGGGTAATCCCCCCAAGGGCAAAAAGGGTTCAGACAAAGAAAATTATAGGAGGGTTTAGGGAAAAGAAAGTTCTAGATAGTTTTAGATAAAGAGAAAGGAAAGCCTAATACTAATATAACAAAAAAAATATAGGAAAATATAACATAACATGGCTGACGGCCACATAGTTCACTGAGATTAAGAATAGATATAGCATTTAAAAGATTCTTTAATTTCATTTTCATATTTATATATAAATTTGTATTTATTGTGGGTTATATTCACAGACATGAAAAATCTTTGAATTAAATTTGGCTTTTAGAACATCAATCAGGAAAATATCAGCAATAATTACAAATTTACTATAGATATTATAAGATTCATTTAAACTATTGTTATGCATAGAGAGTAAAACTGTCCTTAAATATTATATATCAATTGTGTTCGGGTCAAATTTTAACTATATATGAAACCTATAGTAAAGAATAACAACAGTGAGAAGAAATCTTTCAAAACATCATTTAAGAATAAAAAAATTCTAACTTTGCTTTTTACAGAATTTTAACAATTTATCTTTTAAATTATCAGATATTATTGGATCAGATTTTAATCCAAACATTTTTTTTTCTTATTTAATTACTATTAATATTTAATACNTGATTTGAAAAAATAATACTAATCATTAAATTTCTTCTGAAAGTAATTCTAAAAAATTTTTTCAACTTAATTGTTGGCAAATACCTTTCAATCCAGGAAATCCATCTAGACCTGTAGTGCCTGGAGGACCAGGTAGACCTGGTTTTCCATCAAATCCTCGTTCACCTGGAAATCCTCTATCTCCTTTCTCCCCAGACTCCCCATTTAATCCAGGAAGTCCTGGAACTCCAGCCTCTCCTTTATCACCTTTAAATCCTGAAATAAAATATTTATAAATAAATAAACTATTTTGGAATCATTCACATAATTCACATGTGATTACTTAATGATATAAAAAACAATTATTCTGTGATTTATGTCTGAAAAAAATGTATAATCAACTTAAATGAAAATGAAATGAATTTTAAGCAAAAAATACATATATGTTTTTGCATATTTAATCTAGACTGCCTGGATTAAAAAATACATAATATGTTTTTGCATATTTAACTATTTATTTGTGTTTTAGTGATAGTTGTGGTGTTCATAGTGAGTAGGCGATCCCGCGAGCGAAAAGGGTACAAAAAAAAAGGTCTCACGACACAAAGTATTATTTTTCTCACTGAACAGGTTCGTTTATTTGATCCCAACTTTACAATTTGTCGAATCTTACGCGTATACCGGTGCTCAATGGTACACTTCGAAAACAGTTGTCTATTACTCACGCGACAAAAACCTGAAGAGGACCAAAATTACTTAATCTAACTTACACTAACTTATGACTAAAGAAGAAAGAATATAGAATATAGAGATAGACTAGGAAAGAAGTGGAAATACCCGGGTTTAGGTTCGGTGAGCCCTTGGTTGGAAAACACTTCGGACTAAGAGGCCTCCCCTCGATGATCTCTCTCTCTGAGTCTCACTTTTTGTTCTTAGGTCACTTCTTATTTTGTAGACCTTTCGTCTACAATCTTCGTCCTCCAGATTGGGTCGTCTTTTATCACCTCTCACTTGTAGACTTTCCGTCTGCAGTCCTTCCCTTTTCTTTTCTCTCTGTTCGCTTTGTCTCAGATCACTTCATTTGTAGGAGCACCTCTCTGTTCGCTCCTGCCTGCTAGAGATCTCCACTCAATCTGATATTCTTTCTCTCTGTTTTTGCCTCCGGGCCTCACTCCCTTCTCCTTTGTTCATTATTTCTTCAAAAAGGGTAATCCCCCCAAGGGCAAAAAGGGTTCAGACAAAGAAAATTATAGGAGGGTTTAGGGAAAAGAAAGTTCTAGATAGTTTTAGATAAAGAGAAAGGAAAGCCTAATACTAATATAACAAAAAAAATATAGGAAAATATAACATAACATGGCTGACGGCCACATAGTTCACTGAGATTAAGAATAGATATAGCATTTAAAAGATTCTTTAATTTCATTTTCATATTTATATATAAATTTGTATTTATTGTGGGTTATATTCACAGACATGAAAAATCTTTGAATTAAATTTGGCTTTTAGAACATCGATCAGGAAAATATCAGCAATAATTACAAATTTACTATAGATATTATAAGATTCATTTAAACTATTGTTATGCATAGAGAGTAAAACTGTCCTTAAATATTATATATCAATTGTGTTCGGGTCAAATTTTAACTATATATGAAACCTATAGTAAAGAATAACAACAGTGAGAAGAAATCTTTCAAAACATCATTTAAGAATAAAAAAATTCTAACTTTGCTTTTTACAGAATTTTAACAATTTATCTTTTAAATTATCAGATATTATTGGATCAGATTTTAATCCAAACATTTTTTTTTCTTATTTAATTACTATTAATATTTAATACATCATGATTTTAAAGTCCCTAGTAGGAGTTCTGTACTGGGATCCCAAGATCCTTTTATTTTTAACCATTTAAATTTCCCAAGAAATTTTTCTTATCCCAGGAAATCATGCAAATTCCTTACAAATTTTGTTTTTTCTTATTTTGTGTTAAATTGGGAAAATTTTGTTAATAGAAAGTATAATTCATAAGTTGTTAGAACACAATTTATATTATTAATTTTAAGCTTTTTTTTTTTTTTTTTTGATTTTTGCTTATTATCACATGTCACAGATTGTCAATAATCAATATGTATTTGTTGCAGGACTGAAAAGTTATTACTTGTCAGAACCTGTAATATCTTGAATAACTATGCTGATGTATTCTCAGCAGCAAGACTTTTGGTTAGTAAAATAAGAGAGAGATTGAATGATCAGGGTATTTGTATGACCATCTTTGTTTTTTACATTTATTATAAAAATTTACATTGATAATTTTATGTTATATTATTCTTTGCAATTTGAAAGTAATATTCATTATTTTCTTTAAATTTTCTACACAATTCAAAGATATTTTTTTGTATCTATCTATCTTCTTCTCAGCAATATTAGTTACTTATACTAATAAACACACCTGATTATATTTGCTAAGTTTTTTTCTTTATTCCAAACGTTTTCAGCCTATTTGGATAGGCCATCTTTAGGCTTTTACATTCATTGTTCTAATGAAACCATTTGTTCGAATTTCATTTGAATTTGAACTTTTAACAACTTATGTAAATGCAAGAGTAAATAAATAGCTAACAATAATATCAAAACGTGTTGCAACTTAACAAAAACATGAAAAAACATAAATTAAAAATAAATAAAAATAAAAAATATCATCTCAAATTGCATTGCAATTTAACAATGAAATAAAAACATAAATTATATCTACTTTAATTAAATGAGTCTAAACTACTAATTCCTATAAACTCCAGATCAAAAAATTTTTTTTGATTATTATAACCCATAATTTTTTCAATTTTGTATTTCCAAGCTGTTGGTAATGCATTGCATCTTTTGCATTTAGGCACCTGTCCCTCATTTTACTTTTGTAAATCTCTATTTTTTCCAATTCCATTGTGATGGATGGTGAGTGCCCCATTCTAACAATCTTCGCTTCATCCCATTTGATCACTGCTCTGTCTGACTGTGCCATACTTGCCAATATCGTGCTATTGAGTCCTTTATTAACACTATATTTGTGCTCCTTTACATGTACTTTAAGGTTTCTTCTGGTCACCCCTATATACTCTTTATCAATTCCTAATTGTTGGTAAAAACAGCTTTGCTAAGGGCACTGGATGATATCTAGGTTGAAGAGTTCCAAAGATGCTTCAAACAGTGGGGAAAAAGACTTCACAAGTGCATTGCATCTAATGGAAAGTACTTTGAAGGTGACTGAAGAAATTTTGTAAAAAAGTTAATAAATAAAGTTTTTATACAAACAATCCAGTTTTTTGTCTCAAAAGAATACTGTACACCCCCCGCTTGCTCTTCCAATTTAATTTTGTCCTTATCTTTCCTTAATACTCTATAAATATTGGGTGCTTGTTTATAAATTATCTTTGCGTTTTTGTATTTTCCTAATTCCTTCACTACCTTTCTTGTTTCTACGAGGGAGACACAAAAAAAACCAAACTGAGAGCACACTGCCATTTGTAGACGTAGTAGAGAGTTCTCCCATTACATGGGTTAGTAGAGACCTTCATGAAACAGCTGTGCAAATAGTGTTAGTTTGTAGGTTTACGTTTGAGCATAGTGTTGTGTTTCTCTTACTATTATTTTATTCTGCCTGCGAAGTTCTGGGCGTCCTTCAACATCTCAAAATGATGAAAACGTTGAAAAAATCTGCCAAAAAAAGTGTTAAGATGTCTGCAAGAGGATGTGCAAAGGAAACATCCAGAACTTTGGTGAGCAGGTGACTGGTTCCTTCATTATTTTTAGACACACATAATGCATAAGACACACAGCCTTACGAGTGACCCACTATTTGGCCTCTCAGGGATGGCCTGTTGTTCCCCACCCTTCGTATTCAGCAGACCTAGCCCATGCAACTTTTTTCTGTTTCCTAGAATGAAGAAAAATCTAAAATGGAAGCATTTTGATGATGTGGAGGTGGTAAAAACAGCTTCACTAAAGGCACTGGACAATATCAAGGTTGAAGAGTTCCAGAGATGCTTCAAACAGTGGGGAAAAAGACTTCACAAGTGCATCGCATCTAATGGAAAGTACTTTGAAGGTGACTGAAGAAATTTTATAAAAATGTTAATAAATAAAGTTTTTATACAAAAAATCTGGTTTTTTGGGCCCCCCACATATGTTGTAGTAACTGGTCATTTAACATTTATGATTTTATTTACATAGTTTCACTAATTCAAAGTTGATTAATTGGTATTCTATAGATTATATAATGTAATTTCTCATACCATAGACATCAAGATTACAATACATGTATTAATTCAAAATTTTAAATTCTTTACTGGTAATTTGAATGTAAATAAATTCATTATAAATTACAGATGAATGTCATATTTCTCATATTTGCTTAATAAATAAGTGATCTAGTTAACTCTGCTTGCCACGTCTTATTGTATACCTTCCACTTTTTTTAATTTGTAATGAAAAATTCCTGGAATGTTAACTGTATTTCGTCTCAAAGTCTAATAATATTTATTATGCTTTCACTATGTTTTAATAAATATGGTGAATACCATAATTTTATGTGAATAACCCATGAGTTATCTATATTCAAAAACAGATTTGAATTATGCAATGGTAAAAGTTATCTGCTGATTTTAATTTACAATTGTGAACTCATCAAATAGCTTTTCCTTTGTCTAAAGTTACGAAGAATGTTTTTAGAAAATTTTAAATTGCAGACATGGTTATCAGCCAAACAAGTTTACCCCAAACTATCAAAGACACATATATACGTGCCTTGCTTTTAGTTCTCTTTTATTCATTTTCTGTATATCAATCCAAACTTCAATTGAATTAGGCATTCTTACTTAAATTGTATCTTAAAAGCTGATAATTTAAAAAAAATGTTTAAAAGGTTTGAATAAAGTCTTTTAATATCTTTAGAGAGTGACATGCTTTATTAACTATCAGAATTTCTTTAAAATTTTTATCATGTGCTTTATTTAGTATGAAGACTTACTAATATTTTAATAATTATTTTCACTGAAGAAAAATCCTTTATAGTTATATTGTATTAAACTGTTAGATTTCAAATATGAAAAATAGCATTTCAGAATGTATTTTTTAATTATTAAAGATATACATAACAATTAGGATTTATGTGTAGCTACATTTTTAAAGGAAAGAAATAATGATTTAATGTACATACATAGAAAAACTTTTTCATATTAATTTATTTTATAAGAAAAACATAAAAGAAAGATTTATATTCTGATGTATATTGTTATCTGCCATAATAAATGACTCTATAACATTTTTTCAACTTCTAGTTAAACTTTGAAATAATATTAAAATACAAATATTGAAAGGTATGGAAGTAAAATGTACATAAAAAATAACTTGTATATCAATTAATAATATTTCTTTAGTCAGTTTTTGTATAATATGTAATGAAATTGAAGTAAAATAACATTTTATATAAAAAATGAATAACTTTATGATAATTCTTCTAAGTAAATTTATTGATTCTTATGATACCTGGCAGTCCATCTCTTCCTTTTGGACCTGGAGGACCACGTGGACCTGGAAGTCCTTCAGTTGCTGCTTCACCTTTATCACCTTTTGGTCCAAGTGATCCAGGAATTCCTGGTAATCCAGGTTCACCTTTTCTTCCCGGAAATCCTGGAAATCCCTTCTCGCCTAAAATGTAATTTCAAATTACTAAAATTATGATTATTAAAGCTTTATTTAATTTTAATGATTTGTAACTTGATCAAAATTAAAGTCATACATATATCAAAATACTGTATAATACACTATGTGATTCCAATTTATGAATAATCTATATATGAGAATTTGTTACAAGCTGTTTCCATTCATCTCTATTCCCAATTTACAAGTTAAAATATTCAATATAATGAGCATCAACTTATATTTAGAAGACAAAATACTTGATGCAGTTCGCACTGAGCAACATTTACAAAAATAAAATATTCTAATCTTGAAATTGAATTTCCCACAAACTATGATTAGACAGCTTATAGATTCCAGACTATTTTCTTTGTTTCACTCACATTATGCCTTTGTTAGAATTATTATAATACAGTTGTGCAGTTTAGTAAACTTTTCTTTATATTACAAAATACTTGATGCAGTTTGCACTGAGCAACATTTACAAAAATAAAATATTCTAATCTTGAAATTGAATTTCCCACATGCTATGATTAGACAGCTTATAGATTTCAGACTGTTTTCTTTGTTTCACTCACATTATGCCTTTGTTAGAATTATTATAATACAGTTGTGCAGTTTAGTAAACTTTTCTTTATATTACAAATCTTTCTATCAATAATTACAATCTAATTAATTAAAAACAATTTTATTTTATTTTTTACTGATTACTTNCAATCCAAACTTCAATTGAATTAGGCATTCTTACTTAAATTGTATCTTAAAAGCTGATAATTTAAAAAAAATGTTTAAAAGGTTTGAATAAAGTCTTTTAATATCTTTAGAGAGTGACATGCTTTATTAACTATCAGAATTTCTTTAAAATTTTTATCATGTGCTTTATTTAGTATGAAGACTTACTAATATTTTAATAATTATTTTCACTGAAGAAAAATCCTTTATAGTTATATTGTATTAAACTGTTAGATTTCAAATATGAAAAATAGCATTTCAGAATGTATTTTTTAATTATTAAAGATATACATAACAATTAGGATTTATGTGTAGCTACATTTTTAAAGGAAAGAAATAATGATTTAATGTACATACATAGAAAAACTTTTTCATATTAATTTATTTTATAAGAAAAACATAAAAGAAAGATTTATATTCTGATGTATATTGTTATCTGCCATAATAAATGACTCTATAACATTTTTTCAACTTCTAGTTAAACTTTGAAATAATATTAAAATACAAATATTGAAAGGTATGGAAGTAAAATGTACATAAAAAATAACTTGTATATCAATTAATAATATTTCTTTAGTCAGTTTTTGTATAATATGTAATGAAATTGAAGTAAAATAACATTTTATATAAAAAATGAATAACTTTATGATAATTCTTCTAAGTAAATTTATTGATTCTTATGATACCTGGCAGTCCATCTCTTCCTTTTGGACCTGGAGGACCACGTGGACCTGGAAGTCCTTCAGTTGCTGCTTCACCTTTATCACCTTTTGGTCCAAGTGATCCAGGAATTCCTGGTAATCCAGGTTCACCTTTTCTTCCCGGAAATCCTGGAAATCCCTTCTCGCCTAAAATGTAATTTCAAATTACTAAAATTATGATTATTAAAGCTTTATTTAATTTTAATGATTTGTAACTTCATCAAAATTAAAGTCATACATATATCTTAATACTGTATAATACACTATGTGATTCCAATTTATGAATAATCTATATATGAGAATTTGTTACAACAAGCTGTTTCCATTCATCTCTATTCCCAATTTACAAGTTAAAATATTTAATATAATGAGCATCAACTTATATTTAGAAGACAAAATACTTGATGCAGTTTGCACTGAGCAACATTTACAAAAATAAAATATTCTAATCTTGAAATTGAATTTCCCACATGCTATGATTAGACAGCTTATAGATTTCAGACTGTTTTCTTTGTTTCACTCACATTATGCCTTTGTTAGAATTATTATAATACAGTTGTGCAGTTTAGTAAACTTTTCTTTATATTACAAATCTTTCTATCAATAATTACAATCTAATTAATTAAAAACAATTTTATTTTATTTTTTACTTATTATCTTAACTAATTTTTATTTTTTTATGATTAAATAAAGAAATGCTTGATAACTTGCATATTTCTTATCTTATGTTGTATTTTCTTCTCTCATTTCATATTAGTTCCTTTTATATAATTATATAATATAATTTTATATAATAAACACTTTCAATTATTTTATTTCATTTTGTATCATTGGTTGATAGGCAAATATGTGTTTTGTAGCATTTTAGTGTTATTTGAAAAACTTGGAGTAGATGACTAGGATATACTAGAACAAAGTACAAATTTTGACCATAAGAAATAATGGAAAAGCTTGTGCCTATTTATGAGAGGTTTTCAAGAATAAAGTTGTAACTTGGGGCAATACTGTATATAATTTTTTTTTTTCCCCATATATTCCATTTGTATATTTATATTTTCTTTTTATTCTTTTTATTAATAGTAACAATAGTTTTCAGGTAATTTAGTTTTCATTATAACCTAGTTTTAATTCTAGAAGTGTCAGTTGCATGCAACCCATCATCTGTTTACATGTAGCCCTAAATAGTATAGTACAGTATACTAGATTGCTCAAAAATTTGTTTTGTCAGTAGATAAATTTTTTTCATTTATTTTGTTACTTTTCAACTAAAAATCAGTTAAATACTTTTTGTTTTATATCTTTTTTGCAATTTTAACAATTTATTGCATTTTAGACATTCCTTTTAAATGTATCAAACATTTGCATCCAAAGATGTGGAATGCAAGTGGAATGCAAATAAAAAATCAACTTTTGTAACTCCAGAAATGTATTTATTAGGATAAAAACCTCTTTGATCAGTTTGATTGATCTTCTTCAGTTACAGAAACTTTGAAGAAAAGAAAAATGCATAGAAAATCCACATGCATCAATTATTGCAATGTCGACATCCTTTCCAGTGCATGGTGGTCACTCTTTGAGATTTAATTTATTTAAGCACTCTTTGATTAATTATTTATCTTTATTTGTTACTTCATCATATGTATTAACTTTTATAATTATTTTACTGTTCTTATGTTATTTTTATGTTAATTAAAATTTTAAACTCCTTTTTTTTAATTCACTTCCTTTAAACTTCCTTTTTTTAATTAATTGTATAACTTGAGTTCTTTTCTTCAAAGTTTCTGTAACTGAAGAAGATTAAACTAATCAAAAACGTTTTTATTTTAATAAATATGTTGTTGAAGTTACAAACGTTGAATTTTTTTATTTGGATCAAACATTTACATTATTTTCTACAATTGAATATCTTTTTAAAATAACATTGGGTGAGTTTAGACAATCTTGATGGATTTTCAACCACTCTCATCTTGCAACTCTTTTTGTTGCTCAGATTGTATCTTCATAAAAGATGTTTCACTTATAGAGATCTTCATAAGTAAAATGTCTGAAAAGTGCAATGAAATCATCAAAATCTTTTTAGGTTACAAAAGTTACAAACATTTTTGAAATTGTAAACAGCAGTAATTAAAATATTTTGAGTTTAGCATCTACATAAATTAAATTTTTCACATTTATTTGCTCTGTATAAAATTAGTGTCATGAAAATATGTTAGTACACATTAAACACTATATCATTTAAGTGATGTATCAAGAACATTTAATTTATTGTTTAATATTTTACATTTACCATTTTTTTTGAATGCCTTAAAAAAATATAATCACAGACTGATAAACACAGTAATCATCAACTAATTTCTGCAGACCATTTAAGGTATCAGCATAATTAATGTGGTCCACTAGATCAAATCAGTTGGACACCTGTTCTAAAAACTGTAATACATTTCGTAATGCTAAAACATGTAATATTTAATTATTTTTCTATAAGCTTATATCTTTTGTTTTTCTGCCAAAAAATTTAACTATTGCCAAAATACTTAACCATTGAAACATTTAATTTTACTTGTACACTGAAATAAATTGGAGTTTTATAAATATAGATATAATAAATTTGGCAATTTTTCATACTTTTATTATGATAATAAATATACCTTAATTTTGTAAAATTTTACTTTAAATACATTATTTAGAAAAATTTAATATAAATTAAAGTTCATAACTGTAATAAAATACCTGGAGGTCCTGGCAGTCCTGTGAGTCCTGAATCACCTTTTATACCTGGTAGTCCTGGGGGACCAGGGGGACCTGGTAATCCAGCACCAGGTAGTCCTGATTCTCCTTTTTGTCCTTTATAAACATTTGTAAAATAATTTTAATAACAACAATAAAAAGAAAATTTTTGTATTGTCACAAGGATTAAAAATTTATATTTTGTTTAATGTAAAAGTACCTTTTGGTCCAATTAGACCAGGCAAGCCATTTTCTCCTCTTGGGCCTTGATCACCTGGGAAACCCATTGGTCCAGCCTCACCCTTCTCTCCTCGAGGTCCAGGAAAGCCTATTTGAAAAATAATGGCATACATATAAATATGTGTGTATAATCTTAAAATAAATATTGCAATACACCAAAATCATCTCTATTATAGAATATTTTATATAATATAAAATGTATAGTCATCATATTATTTTAAAATGTTTTGAAATATGTGCTGCAGTTAAATACAATTTAAAGAAATACACCAACTAATATAAACATAAACATTAATTGTAAAAATGACACATTAATTTTTACTATGATGAACAAATTTTTATTATTGTTTATATTTAATTTATGGTATTTTTAATTTTTCTGATTCTTATTCTTCAACAATTATAGTCACTGAAAGCATATTGCAATTATATTAAAAATGGAACATCAAGAAAATATTTTTATACAGTTCTATTTTCATATTTTAAAATGGATAAAACATATAAGAACAGAAAGTAACATACAATGCACCAGTTAAATAATTAAACTAAATTTGTTTTGTGTATCAAAATTTTTGACATGGAGCAACATGCCATGATTAAATTTGAAAGTAAATCAAGACTGTGTAATGTATCAAAAATATATCTGGTGATTACTATCTGATTTGTGCACTTGTCTTCTAATATAGTAGTTTTCACATTTTCAAGAAAAAAGAAATTGTTGAAAAAAAAATTTTATCTGGACCAGTCAGTTTATATTTTATCCAATAACGTGGAAAAAGCTTATGCCATTATGATACAGAGCAGGTGAGAGTAACCACTAAGCTATTTGTTGAATATCTTGAAGTCAATAAAGAAATGGCCAGACAAATATTGGAAAAAGATTTATTGAAGGTTGTGCTGTCTTCTTAATGAGTGAATAGAGAGAGCATCAGATTGAATGTTCTTGCAGTTTCACAAGTTTACCAATAATGACCATGATATGAGCTGCTCACTTTCCAAATCAATTAACTTCACAAAAACAAAAAGTATAAAAATTGATAATGTAAATTATTTTTTAAAATTCCTTTTAAACTTTAAATTTAAATAAACATTGTAGAATATATTGTTATATATCATTACATTAAACTAAGCTTTAATATAATGATATATAAATTTAGTTATGCAATAAAATATAAAAATAATAACAATTATATTAAGGATTTACAAATGGAGTTAACCAATTTGGTCTGTGAACGGCTCATATGTTTCAAAGAATTGACTGGTGATGAGAGTTAATGTTTTCAACTCCTAGAATGAAATGACATAGTATGGAATAAATTTTCTCAAACAGAAGAAAATCAAGTTACAAAAATATGTCAGGACAATGCTGACTGTTTTTCTGATACTTTCAGAATTATTCATAAATTTGTTTCTGAAACTCCTCAGTTAGTATTATTTAGCAGTGATGGAACATCTTTACAAGCACAAGCACTATATTAGAAATGTGTAGTTTCAAAGCAATAGTTGGCTGCTGTTACATAACAATGTGCCTGCTCACTATGCATTGAATATGAAGCAATTTTTTGCATTCAAATCTGTGAGATCAAGCATTCCTTTATTCACCAAGTTTGGTAGTGGCAGACTTTTCATTTCTCCAAAGATAAAATTGACCCTAAAAAAAACACTATTTCAATGAAATTAGTGCCATGTAATATAATATAACTGAGCAACTAAAAAGGATTTACTTTCCATTTGTTTTTTGAGGATCTTTATAAATTATCTTAGCACTGTGTGGAATTAGAGTTGATTATAGTGAAAACATGTAATAAAAATTTTAAATATATTCATTATTTTTTTCATAATAAATTTAATATCATTAGTGGCCAGTCATAATTATGCATATATATTTTTTTATTAAAATATCAATGTTAATTCAACCATTTTTTAAGGATGCCAACTCCTTACAAAAGTATTTGTTATAATGGTAGTAAATATGGTGTCAAGTTTTGTCAAGTATGAAAATTAATATTAATATTAACTAGAAACAGCATTTTCATTTTGTAGGACAGATTTTTGTTATAATCATTATATATATTATTAAAGTCATTGTTTTGTCATATTATATGTTTACAGGCATTTATATTATATTGTTTTTTAGTAATTTTTAATAATACATAATTTCTGATGCATAGAAAAAATGTTCATTACTTTCCAGAAGTAAAAATTTGTTTGTATAAATTTTGTTCTTTTAGAATAATATTTCATTTAAGAACAGTTCTCAATAAAATAAAAAATGAAACTAAAAATAATGAATTTTAAAAATTATAACAGTATGTCAAACTATTATATTACCTCTTGGTCCTGGTTGTCCTGGTGCTCCATCTTCTCCTGGTTCACCTTTGAGTCCTGGCATTCCATCCATACCAGGAAGACCTGGTATTCCAGACATTCCACGAAGTCCTTTTTCTCCAGGAGCACCAGGAAATCCTGGTGGTCCAGGTGGTCCAGGAGGTAGATATTTAATTAGATCTTCAGGTTTTGATAATTTACCTATTTAAAATTAATTATTTGAAAATTTGAGAAAATAAATTAATAAATATATTCCAGTACATCATGATATAAGTTAAAGTAATCAGTAATTTTAGAATAGATTACTTAATTTAAATTTGAATAATATTTTCTGATTTATCAAGTTAAATTAGAAATTAAACATAAATAGGTTGTTCCATCCATCCCACTAAAAATTAAAAAGCTATTAAGAAATTTTCAAAATACTAAATTTGTTGAGCAGACAGGTCTGACTTGATGGGTAAAGCAATGAGGTGACTGCCTCAAATAAAAAACTGACAGGGACAGCAAGATGAGCAGTCAAAATGTTCAGAAAGAGAAAAAGTAAATAAAAACAATAAACTGAATATAGTAAAGTCCCATAAACATACTTTAAACTTTTATATAGAAAATATATTTCTTCTTGACTATACATACATAGATGAGTCTTTGTCTACTTTCTGTCCTTTCACACGCTGTACGAGGCAAAGGACAGAAAGTAGACAAAGACTCATCTATGTATGTATAGTCAAGAAGAAATATATTTTCTATATAAATGTCATAATTTGTCCTGGCAATTTTTTATATTTTATACTTTAAACTTGTTTATAAATACTTCATACAACCGTGTCAGCACTAGAAGTGCTCTCTTTGCCAACTCTTCTGGAAGCAGGCAGTAAAAATCAATTTTGCTTCAGGTGCAAGTTAACCATCAAGCTAGAACTCTAAACAGTTAGTTTATATACTTAAACTAAATTCAACATTTTCACATTTCATTATTAAATATGGAACTTTAAGTGCTTATTTTAAATTAATATTACATATAAATTCAATTAACATTAAACAATTTTTCTTTCAAACATTAAACATCAATTAATGACAATAACATATGTTAATAATATTAAACAATAATTGAATTTTTCTTTCAAAAGGCTTCTTATAACTTAAAAACACAAAAACTAACATTTTAAAATTGAGCAAATCAAATATTTCCCATAAAATTTTAATACACTTTGTTTCTTCCACTTTTATCATTTATATTATTCTTCTAAAGATGAAAATGTGAATTCAAAAACCTTATAAAATAAAATCCTATAAAATTTAAATTCCTCAAAACATTTGATTTTTTAGTTTTGTTATTACAAAATAACAAACATGTTTCTATAAATAGAATACAGTAGAGCATCGATTATCCGACCCCCGATCAACCGTCACATCAGTTAACCGACTGCGTTCTAGTCATCAAACTCAAATGTCTGCTAGTGATGTGGCGCTACAATATTTGGCTATGTCTTGGCTACTTTTATATTATTTTTGTTAAATTTTTGCGTGTTTTAGCTGGCAACACTAGCTCGACCATAAAGGGAGGCAAGTATTTAAACGAGGCTTAATTTTGTAATTATGAGTGGTTGTTTGTTTTGTGAGCAATAAAAGAATTTAAAAATAATTTTTAACGATACAATACCGACAATTATTATTTTTAAAAAATTTTTGTTAGGCTTAACATCGATGAAAATTCAATGCAAAGTAGGTTAATAGCGATATACTAATTGCATGGGATATACTAATCTATCTATATAACCCATTGAACGCATGTCTGACCGTCCGTCCGTGTAATGGTATGCCAAAAATGGGCACTAGAAGTGCCCTTGCGATGATTTTAAATTAACAATAAATTATTTTTATTTGTAATAGGAATTTATTATTGATATGAATTTATTATTATATGCCTTGACTTGCCTTATTATATGCCTTGATTAACCTTGCGCCACACGTTTACAACATCCCGTGACTCACAAGTCAGTGAACGTCGCGCATTGACTCACGGGAAATTTGTTGAAAATATGGCAGATACATTTAAAATCGAGGTTTAGAACCGAAGATAAATAAACAAGTTAAACTATTTTAAAGTTTTATAGAATGTTTAATAGATAGAATTATAGATCCATATGACACGATTGAGACTTTAATTAACAGAGCTGTAGAGCATATTGATAGGAACAAAAAAGTCAAAGGAACCGTGCCTCATGGGAATTTGTAAAGAACGCCCACTAGGTGGCGTCCTGGGCTACTAGTATACTATAGTGTATTAATAATGTATTTTTTCATACTTTTCGGTTACCCTTTTTTTCAGTTATCCGACCAACCCCNACATTTGTAATTGAACTTATTATTGTCTTTATTTTCATCATCATTTTAACACCAAAAAGAGTTTTTATTCCTATTGATTTATTTGGTATGTGCAGGGTTCCTACTCAAATTTTTGTTTTAAATTCCCTGACTTTCCCTGACTAACTTTGTACAAATTCCCTGACCCACATATCCCTTACAGCAGGGGTGGCCAACCTTTTGCATAACATGCGCCAATTTTTTGATAGACGAGTTCAGATGCGCAGTGGCGTACCGTGGGTGTTAGCCGCCCGGGGCGAGAAAAATTTCGGCCACCCTTTAATCAGGTATTTCAATTTAAAAGATCAAAATTCAGTGGTGTGAAAAAAAAATTAATAAAAAATGCGGTGGTGGTGTAGTTACCCGTACAAAATAGTCCCATTCGACATTAGTGGCATACACGATTGCGAATGTATCGTGAATCGTAGAAGCAAAAAAAAAAAAAAGGTCAACAGGTGTAGCAGTCCAACCGACTCGTGGACTGTCCGGACGGTAGCACTGTCATTTAGACGCCTATGCACTGATCGAAAATAAACATACATGCATACACTGTAATTTACTATGTGGAGAACACTCATTTTATCTGTAAAGTTGATTGCAACGAATTGTGCAACAAATGAACTTGCCAAGACAGACTATAAAAAATTAATTTTCTATGTAATATTCTTAATTGCAAAGAAGCCAAATCTGGCAATGTTGCTCAGAACTGACTAAAGCGCCACTTGTAATCGTCCAATGCGCCAAGTTTGGCGCATGCGCCACGGTTTGGCCACCCCTGCCTTACAGTATGGCACATTAACAAAATAAAACATTACTCAACTTACTATGCACATACACTAGTGCTTCTCCAACTTTTTAACTAGTTATTTTTTCTAATTAACAGTTATACATTTTTTATGATTGATGAATTAGTAAAATCAAAAATAAATAAGAAAGAAAGAATTTTTATGCCTGTTATTAACTCAACTGTAAAACGTCATAGCTTTAAAAAAAGAAAACAGCCATTTATTATTATTAAAAGAATTCAGTAAAAGAATGTACAAAAGTTTAAATTTATTAAATTTGTCCTTTAATAAATTTTTCAAACTTTATAAAATATTAATAAGTTGGGAAAAAGTTTCAGAAATCAGAAATTGTTTTGTTATGTGATCAAAATTATTAAAATGATAAATGATAAATAATACGATTTGAATTAATATTAAGTTATTTATCATTTTTGGTTCTTTGTTATCATTTTTTTCCATCGGTTCATTAACACATTCCCTCAAACTGAAAATGTAAATTGCAAGAAATAGAAAGTTAAAATATTTCAAAAATTTTTTATCAACATTAGATTTTTCTCTCAAACTTATAATACTGCATAATTAATACAGCAGTTTTAAAATCTAAAAGTATTGGGTTGAACCAAAAGTTTGTTCGGGTATTTACATAATTGTTCATCTGTGGCGCCTCTGTTGTGCTTATCAAGTTTAAACCTGTTTAGGTTGACATTACAGATATTTGTATATTTATTACGTAAGTTTAATTACAGCTATTTTTTAAAATTTTGTTAACTTTTAAGAAAGAAAAAAAAAAAGCATTAAAATGGAAGATAAGGAGGTGCATTTTCAACATATGATGCTCTATTATTTCCGAAAAGGAAAAAATGCAACAAAAACTCAAAAAAAAATATGTGCTGTATATGGGAAGGATGCAGTTACTGATCGAACATGCCAGAAATGGTTTTCAAAATTCAGGGAGGGAGATTTTTATCTCAAAGATGCACCTCGGTCAGGATGACCTTCAACCATAGAAGATGAGTCCTTTAATTCAAAATGACTGGCATAAAACAACATGAGAGATAGCCGACATCTTAAAAATATCCCAAACATCTGTTGTCAGACATTTGGCTAGCCTTGGATACACTCACTTCCTGTTATGATGTTTGGATTCCCCATAAGTTAAGTGAACGAAACCTTATTGAGCATGTTTCTGTATGTGATTCACTTTTAAAACACAGTGAAGATGATCCCTTTTTAAAGCAATTAATAACAGGCAATGAAAAATGGATTGTTTACAACAATATTCAACACAAGAGATCTTGGAGTAAGCCNTGGTTCAACCCAATATTTTAAAATTTAAAAATAACAATTGATATTGTTGTATGCTTGTATATTTTGTGTGCTATAATTTTGGGGAAAATTTTGGATCCTAAAAATATTCTGCATTCCCTTTTCATAGTTGCATTGTTCCACAATACTTCTGGCTACCTGTAGACAGCTACACTTGGTCAGTCATGCTGTCAGCAAACAAAATCAACAAGGCAATCAAGGAAACAAATTCCCTGACTTTCCATGACTTTTTCGGAACACTAAAGTAAATCCCTAACTTTCCCTGATTTTTCCTGACTTTCCAGGTGCATAGGAACCCTGTATGTGCCTTAATATGTTGCATTTAAAAAAAAAGTGAAAATAAACCAAATATACTCAAAATCAGTAAAAATATTTAATGTGTGGCATGACACAATTTATTCGTGTATAGTTTTTAAGTTATGTTATTTTCATTTTCTATCATTTCCCTTTTCTAGCCTATCAATTTCTCTTTGTTTTCTGAGTTCGAGAATTTTCCACCTTTGCCCTACTTCCATGGGTGTGAGCATTAGACAATAGAGTGGAGAAGGCTCTGAGGGCAAACATCAGTGTAGTCAGCACTTTTGGTCAAGTTCCCAAGGAAGACAAACATGCAGAGTAGCCTGAGAAGCAACCAGGTATGATCACTAAGATATACAATTTATACAGAAAGAGCTGGTGAGTCCTGAGAGTTAAAACGAGAAAGACTGACAAAAAGAGAACTAGTGACAACTAAGAAAGAAAATACATATACCAGTGAAATCCAGAATGTCAAAGGTATACTTGGACAGTTTCATCATGATACATGAAGTGACAGGTACCCCTTTCCTAAGACTTCTTTCTTCGTAAATCTANCTTCAAGCCTAAGTGATTTATCATTGAAAAACATTATGATGGTTTGTTTAAGTTTTTATTTTTTCCACGGTCAGGTGTCACCCCTAAACAGGTGACACCCGGTGTGGGCTGCCCCCGCCACCCCTTAGTTATGCCACTGTTTCCAGCTTTTATCTAAAGGTGATGATTATGTATTATCATCAAAAGCAGTTGTAATTACATTTGTAATTGAACTTATTATTGTCTTTATTTTCATCATCATTTTAACACCAAAAACAGTTTTTATTCCTATTGATTTATTTGGTATGTGTAGGGTTCCTACTCAAATTTTTGTTTTAAATTTCCTGACTTTCCCTGACTAACTTTGTACAAATTCCCTGACCCTCATGTCCCTTACAGTATGGCACATTAACAAAATAAAACATTACTCAACTTACTATTCACATACACTAGTGCTTCTCCAACTTTTTAACTGGTTATTTTTTTCTAATTAACAGTTATACATTTTTTATGATCGATGAATTAGTAAAATCAAAAATAAATAAGAAAGACAGAATTATGGCATGTCTTCTCTATACAAAACTAAAATGTTTTATTAAATAATAATTTATCCTGTTATTAACTCATAACTGTAAAACATCATAGCTTTAAAAAAAGAAAACAGCCATTTATTATTATTAAAAGAATTCAGTATAATCCATGTACAAAAGTACAAATTTATTAAATTTGTCTAATAAATTTTTCAAACTTTATAAAATATTAATAAACTGGGAAAAGTTTCAGAAATCAGAAATTGTTTTGTTATGTGATCAAAATTATTAAAATGATAAATGATAAATAATACCATTTGAATTAATATTAAGTTATTTATCATTTTTGGTTCTTTGTTATCATTTTTTTCCATCAGTTCATTAACACATTCCCTCAAACTGAAAGTGTAAATCGCAAGAAATAGAAAGTTAAAATATTTCAAAAATTTTTTATCAACATTAGATTATTAAGAGTATTAGATTTTTCTCTCAAACTTATAATACTGCATAATTAATACAGCAGTTTTAAAATCTAAAAGTATTGGGTTGAACCAAAAGTTTGTTCGGGTATTTACATAATTGTTCATCTGTGGCGCCTCTGTTGTGCTTATCAAGTTTAAACCTGTTTAGGTTGACATTACAGATATTTGTATATTTATTACGTAAGTTTAATTACAGCTATTTTTTAAAATTTTGTTAACTTTTAAGAAAGAAAAAAAAAAAGCATTAAAATGGAAGATAAGGAGGTGCATTTTCAACATATGATGCTCTATTATTTCCGAAAAGGAAAAAATGCAACAAAAACTCAAAAAAAAATATGTGCTGTATATGGGAAGGATGCAGTTACTGATCGAACATGCCAGAAATGGTTTTCAAAATTCAGGGAGGGAGATTTTTATCTCAAAGATGCACCTCGGTCAGGATGACCTTCAACCATAGAAGATGAGTCCTTTAATTCAAAATGACTGGCATAAAACAACATGAGAGATAGCCGACATCTTAAAAATATCCCAAACATCTGTTGTCAGACATTTGGCTAGCCTTGGATACACTCACTTCCTGTTATGATGTTTGGATTCCCCATAAGTTAAGTGAACGAAACCTTATTGAGCATGTTTCTGTATGTGATTCACTTTTAAAACACAGTGAAGATGATCCCTTTTTAAAGCAATTAATAACAGGCAATGAAAAATGGATTGTTTACAACAATATTCAACACAAGAGATCTTGGAGTAAGCCAGGTGATCCTCCAGTGCCACAAACTAAAGCAGGTTTGCATCCCAGAAAAGTAATGATTTCAGTTTGGTGGGAAGGATTCTTTATTACGAGCTTTTACCCAACAACCAAACAATTAATTCCAATAAATATTGTCTCCAGCTGGATGAACTAAAGGCTGCAGTGCATCAAAAACGTCCAGAACTTGCAAATCGACAGGGAGTGGTATTCCATCATGATAATGCAAGACTGTACATAAAGTTAAACGTGCACCAAAAACTTCTAGACTTTAACTGAGATGTTTTGAGTCACCCTGCATATTCTCCAGATATTGCTCCCTCAGACTATCATCTTTTTCGTTCATTGCAGAATAATTTAAATGGCATAGAATTTCAATCTCTAGAAGGTATCAAAAATCACATCAATAATTTCTTCAATCAGAAACCAACCCAATTCTACACAGATGGAATTATGAAACTACCCGTCAGGTGGCATAAGGTTATTGAAGGGTGAATACATTGGGTACGTTCGTAAAGTCGAACGAGTTAAACGAGAATGACGTCATCGTTATTCTTATTTCGTTAGACTTTTCGAACGATTCGNCCGTCCCCCTCTGACTTATACCCCACCCGTTAGATCTATCCGAAAAACGCGAATTTCAAGTCCCCCTAGCTCCTCCCCTAATTGTCCTAGCCGAAATTTTAAATGGTATACGAACCACCTCTGTTAGCTCTTTCGAACGATGTGTCTGATGTAAGTGTGTATCCAAAATTTTTTTTTTTATTTCTTTCTAAAAACCGAACAAACTTTTGGTTCAACCCAATATTTTAAAATTTAAAAATAACAATTGATATTGTTGTATGCTTGTATATTTTGTGTGCTATAATTTTGGGGAAAATTTTGGGATCCTAAAAATATTCTGCATTCCCTTTTCATAGTTGCATTGTTCCACAATACTTCTGGCTGCCTGCAGACAACTACACTTGGTCACTCATGCTGTCAGCAAACAAAATCAACAAGGCAATCAAGGAAACAAATTCCCTGACTTTCCATGACTTTTTCGGAACACTAAAGTAATTCCCTAACTTTCCCTGATTTTTCCTGACTTTCCAGGTGCATAGGAACCCTGTATGTGCCTTAATATGTTGCATTTAAAAACAAAGTACTCAAAATCAGTAAAAATATTTAATGTGTGGCATGACGCAATTTATTCGTGTATAGTTTTTAAGTTATGTTATTTTCATTTTCTATCACTTCCCTTTTCTAGCCTATCAATTTCTCTTTGTTTTCTGAGTTTGAGAACTTTCCACCTTTGCCCTACTTCCATGGGTGTGAGCATTAGACAATAGAGTGGAGAAGGCCCTGAGGGCAAACATCAGTGTAGTCAGCACTTCTGGTCAAGTTCCCAAGGAAGACAAACATGCAGAGTAGCCTGAGAAGCAACCAGGTACGATCACTAAGATATACAGTTTATACAGAAAGAGCTGGTGAGTCCTGAGAGTCAAAATAAGAAAGACTGATAAAAAGATAACTAGTGACAACTAAGAAAGAAAATACATATACCAGTGAAATCCAGAATGTCAAAGGTATACTTGGACGGTTTCATCATGATACATGAAGTGACAGGTACCCCTTTCCTAAGACTTCTTTCTTCGTAAATCTATCCCTCCCTATCTAACATCTCTTCCCTCCTTCAGCAATAATTAGAGTTAAAACATTGGTTATAAGGTAGTTTTAAGCACAGCTGATCTTTGTGTATACCTTTGTGATTTGAACCCCACATGTGTGAATCCCAACAAGTGGTTGAGAAGATCCTTTTGTGTAACAATCTTGATTGTACTATACTGTTGTGTAAAAGTGTTCACTAACAATGCATCAAAAGGACCCGATCTTTCTTTCGTGTTCATACTGTATAAAGTTTTGTTCTTTATGTTATACCTGTTTCTTATTCTTGTCACACTGAACACTACAAATGATATAAATGTTTTCATATGTTACCCACAAACATCATCAGGTATATAATTGAATACCAAACAGAACAATTTTAAGCCATCAAACAATAGTTATGGGTGATGGATAAAAGCATTCACATTATTAAATAGTTTTACTGGTTTTTGATATATTTAGTGTGTTTTCATTACATACAACCAGTTTTTGGAAGAAGTGAAAGTGTAAAAAAAAATTATTTTACCTCATCACCAGGAGGACCAGGTAGTCCAGTTCGTCCATCTTCTCCTCTTTCTCCAGGTAACCCTGGAAGACCACTAGGTCCTCTTTCTCCTTGTATTCCAGGTAGCCCATCAAGTCCTCGCTCTCCCTTTTCACCTTTTGTTCCAGGAATACATGCAATGCAACTACCACCTCGATCACCTAATTTAATTAAAAGTATTTTTAATTTATAAATTATATATTAAAAATATTTAATTGATATAAAATTCTAACATCTATATACAATAAAATTAGGTAATTATTTTTAAATTTTTAATAAACTTTAATGATAAACAAGTATTGATGTTAAAAAGCTTACAAACTTCATCAAACTTAATTGTCAAATAACATCAATTAAGAGGTGATAACATTGTTAATGTTATCAAAACCATATGATGTTTCATATTTGTTACAGCTGCATTTATCTCATTTTAAATTAATAGTTAGAATATTAATTCATTTTTTATATTAGTAGATTTCATTATTTTATTTCAGAATATTAATTAAAGATTTTATGAGAAATTTTATATAATTTAATTTGAAACTTTCCCTTTTCCCTCCTCACTCATTTGCTGTCAGGGTACTAAGAGAGTGCCTTTTAATCATGCTTATCACAGATTCAACCAGGCTGACAGAGGGAGTGGCTAGATAGTGAGGTAGAAACCCAACATATCTCAGACATACCATCCATGAAAATTCTTGGGGTAGCTTGTCTAAATTTAATCCTATATTCCCCAGAGCAGCAACTAACACATCAATCAGCCAAAATGTTTTATGGCTGAATGGCCGGAGTGTAATACAAGATACACTCAAATACTGTTTACAGAGACTATCATACCAATTTACTTGGTACTTAGTTTCAGCAGACAGTTTGCCTGCAGTGAAACTTTTCTTTATTAAACTGCTTTTTTCAAATAAAAAGTCATAACACAATGTTTTCTTACACTAAAATCATAAAAGTAACTATTCTATAGACTTTTGAACCAAATTTTTCAACTGAAAATGAACATACTCATGATATAAAGAGACTTCTTTATATCATGAGTTAAAATGTGTTTCATTTGAAACATGTTTCACTTTCTAAAAGCAAAGTAATAAAGTCTAGAATTCCTAAATGTTTATGATAATTACTCAACAATTTAATGACATAGTTTAGATTCTGTAGTCATCAGGATGATATTCTTTTTAAAAAGTAAAGCATATCATTACTCATAACATAAGTTATATGTGAATGTTAATAATGAATTACTTTAAGTAATATATGCATATTAGAATGTAATGATAAGAACAAGAACTACTTTGTTGATTTTTTTGTTATTACAAGCTTAGTTGTAATCTGATTTATCCTCTATATTGATGGCTGGATTGTTGCATAAGTTGAAAACAAAGTGTACTCATCAATCATAAAAACTTAGAAATGCATTTGCTCCTTCAACAACCACTTCACTGCTGTATAGCTTGGTAGTGATTCTTATATGACAAAACATAAGAGATTTTTACCTTTACAGCTGAAAAATTGAATTTAGATGGTTTATCAATGAATATTTTAATAATTTTTAACCTGAACAAATAATGACTTACTACTACTTAATTGATTAAAAAAAAAGCTTTTTCATTAGGAAAAATTTTAAGTTAGAAATTATAGCAATAAAATTTAAACCTTTACACAGGATCTGAATTAATATTCTCAAATATGATTAATTAATTTTTGCATGAACAGTATTTACTATTCATTATTCGAAAGTTCATATTAAAGTTGATAATACTAACTTTTAATAAGAAGATAAATTATCTGTATAAAATTCTTACTTTCAGGTAGTCAACTGTTTAAATTTTTCATGAAGGAATGTTTTTGTCCTGTTTTAGAACAGCTTCAGCTGTTTAATGTACACAAGTCACTGTTTCAAACTGAATTCAAATTAATTTGGAACAGTAATTTGTGTACAATAAGAAGCTGAAGCTACATGTACGTGGATGCAATGGATTCAAAATGAGAGAAGATTCCTTATGAGTCATTCCTTAGTTTCAAATTCCATTGGAAGTTCCAGATTCAGAAGGAAAGGAGCAAATTCCAGAAGGAAAGTTGGCATATATTTACTTGAATATGAATATTCCCCATAAACAATGCTATAATAGATCCATGTTACTAAAAGTTTTTTGCTAAGATGCAGGTTTTTACAGGATTAAGTTCCTTGATCCAAAACTGATTGATTTTGAACCTAGTTTCTCAAAATCTGATTAGTCCCTTCCTGTCTCCAAGTGAAAATTGAGACTTCTTTTGGATTGTGAGAAAGGTCGATATTGACAATTTGATACCAAATTCAAACCAAAAGATATCTATCTGATCTTAGAACCCCTATTGTTTAAATCTGCTGGTATGTATATTTCCAATGTTTGTCCAACAGAGATAATTAAAGAAAGTTTCTTATGATTCAAAAAAATGCTAACAAGTCAAAACAGTGAAATTCTTGTACAAAAATACAAAAGTGAAGGTGTTAAGGTGAGTACTTGGCTATTCTCACAATCCAGAGCATCACACAATCCCTGCTTTTAAGGTGTTTTTTTGATAATTCAAATATCATCTTATCAGCCAAATATAATGAATAATGAATATTTCTGTAATATAATTATTCAACTTAAAATGTTAAAATTTTTCAAATAATACACAAAAAGTGCAGTAGGTAACAATTTTTAAGAAAAAATAATATTTATGTTTGTTTCATTAATTGTTTAATTTTTATCATTTTATTGTATTTTAATACTAGCAGATGAGCACGGCATTGCTCAGACAAAAAGTAACAATAGCAAAGATTAAGATTATTAGATTATAGGTTTTCACACCAAGTGTAAAAATTAGGTCCCCTCCCTTCCAAGACTAATTAGAAAATTTTTAGATATCTGCTTACCATACTGGGATAACAATAATTAAGATTCACAGTGACCACTAACCGGTGCATAGTATCACTAAATGATGAATAACAAACGTTTTTGTAACCCCTTCTGGGTTCTTCTTTAGATTTACTAAATTCAAAAAATAAGCTGGATCTTCCCAAATCATTNTCCTTACCATACTGGGATAACAATAATTAAGATTCACAGTGACCACTAACCGGTGCATAGTATCACTAAATGATGAATAACAAACGTTTTTGTAACCCCTTCTGGGTTCTTCTTCAGATTTACTAAATTCAAAAAATAAGCTGGATCTTCCCAAATCATTCATAAACATAAATTTGAACATAAAATCAAACATTAAGACAAAGAGTTTGAATAAAGCAAACTTATGCACATGTGCTCCTTGTGTCAACTTTATATACGATGGAACACTAAATATCATTGAAAATTTTTAGAAGGGTCTAAAAATATGTTCGATTTTCCACATAAATGCAAAAAAGACATCTAAAATAGTACAGTAGACAGTAGAAGCTGAGTTCTTCGGAGTAATCCTTAACCCTCTCTCTCTCCTCTGCGGTGGGAATTTCAAAAAATTCCTTTTTAATGTGCATTCTTGTGTCATACACTATTAAAACACAATCAAATATGCAAAAAACCACATCTAAAATAGTATAATAGAAGTCAAGTTCTTCATGGTAAGCCTTAATCCTGTCCCTCTCTCCCATGGGGGGAATTTTGAAAAATCCCTTCTTAGTGTATGTTCTCATGACATACCCTAACTGTGTACCAAATTTCAACTTTCAACTCCTAACTGTTTGGGCTCTGCGCTTATTATTATCATTATCAACCCATCTTGATTATATTGTAAGATATACAGTTTTGGAGTAACTTTTTGAAACAGAAATGTTTCTCAAACATGTTTAATCCTAAAAAAAATTATTGTCTATTTATTATTAAATAGGTTAGTAATAGTAATAGTAATGTTATTAATTAAATAGGTTATTAAATAGGTTACTACATAGGCTATTTATTATTAAAGAATAAATTCATTAATATATTTAAATAAAAGTAAAATTAAATTATTATAGACATAGACTGTGTCAAAAATATATGTGAGAATTACAAGAATAATGCCCTATATAATGTTTATAATTTTCATGCTGTTTTGAGTTATATATTGTCATAAATATCCATAATTTATTATCATTAATCAATGTTTATTAACGTAATAGGCAATAGCCTGTTACAAGGGGGATGTTTATACAATTTTAGAACTTTACATAAATTAACTTTTCGATGAACATTCACCTTCCATCTGTTACAATCGGGGTGGTTGGATTTCACAATTTCTTGATTACCTAACAAATTTATTTCTACATATAATTATATTCTAACTTATACATCACATTTAGTATGTTCCTTTTTACACCTGTTTTAAAATACTTCAAATTTATTCAATATTCCACATACAATATTGTTTTTGCATTATAAAGATCTTATTTTCTTTATTAAATTTATATTTATGAGAGCTACTTTTACATAGTAGATTAATTTATTCTTGTTTCTTCATTTTTGCTTTACTAAATACTATGATCAAGTCTTTATTAACTTTGACTCTCACTTCAAATTATCATCCAGGTTTCCATAGAATCAATTATAATGTTAGGATCTATGAATTCCTTTAGTAAGATTTTATAATTTTCCCACAAAGACCCTATATTCTCCAAAACCCTATTGGACAGAAAGTTTTTTTGTCTTTGTTAGTCTCCCTCATATTTTTACTACCATTACCTTACTAACATTTTTTCCTTTACTTTTACTTTACTATTTTCTAGTTTTACAAAGCTTTTATTACAATTATTTCAATTACTGTTTTGTTATTTGAGGTATCTAAACTTAATTCGGTATGATTCTCTTGTCAGTCCTGTTCTTTTTAGTCATCTGTCTATTTCTAAAAGAACAATCCATTTGAATAATCTTGTTTGTATTCATATCAATTGTATATATTATATTATCCTTAATATAGTAATCATCTCTTATTAATATTTTATTTTTAGTAGTTTTTTCCACTTTAATTTGATCCTGTAGTTTTTTTCTTCTAATTCTTGATCTAATACACAAATCCGTTGTAATTATTATTTTTTTCTCGGTTTCATTAACAATTTTTGGTTTCAAAGTCCAAAATCTCTTGAGAACTAAATTTCTATCTTTTACAGATTCCAGAATTACTTTTATTATTAGGTTATTCTTACTATTTTTAAGTTGGACTAGTCCTTCAATTTCTATATTTTTTAGACCTAATTCTTCGTTAATAAATTGTTTGATTTCTTGAGCAACGTTCCATGTTTTAACCAGAAAATTAAAAATTATTATGTTCTTATTTGTAATCTCATTTACCAATTTATCAAATTCGAATTCCAACCATACCTTTTAACTTTTCGTTATTTTTATAATTTTCTTCTAATTTTTGTATCTTGTAACCAATTATCTTCATCTCTTCCTTATAACTATTATTTTCTTCTTTTATCTTATTAACTTCAGCTTTTATTGATTGAATTTCTCAGTTTAACTGGCAAAATTTTTCCTGAATTAATTCGTATGTAGATCTTAATGTATATTGTGAATCGTCAATACCTTGTTTTTTGGTTTCTCTTGCTGGTCTAAAATAATCCTAAATTTTTGAATTTCTCAGGGTCTCATTATTTCTTTCGACCTTTTCTTCAATTCCGTATTCCTCACTTAAAATTTGAAGTAACTGTGTTTCCCTTTCTTCATCCTTGTGACTTTCCTTCCGAGGTCTACCCCGCCCCTTTTTTGCATATCCAACTGACTTGACTGAAGTGGTGAGCGGGGGAGAGGACCAGGATTTATTTCAATTCTGGCAATTATTAATAGTATTTTAATCAATCCCAAGGTTAATTTAATGTCAACAGCTCTAATTTGTACATACCACATTATGTAATTTTTTGTTATTTCCATCCCAAACTTGTTCTACCAACCTCTCAAAAAAAGTTCACTCGCAAGCTTGACAGCTCTGACACACCCCTAATATCCATAATTTATTTTAAAGAGGTCCCTCTCTCCCA